GGCCCGGGAACCACAACAGACGCCGCTGCCTCCCGGCTCTCGCCTGCGCGGTGCCAAGAGCCGTTATTTGCCTGCCCACGCGCTTGCCATCAAGAGTCAACAAACTCCCCAGATGTGAAACCCTTTATTCACCTCCCAGGGCCATATTCATCTCCCACCTGTGGAAGGAGGGACACGGGGGTAGATTTCCCCTCTCGCAGAGGAGGAAAGTGCCTGGAGTCAGGAGGAAAACCAGCCACCTGCTTCACAGCGGTTCCTTTAAATAGCGGTACACAAGACAGTCTCTGCCCTGGGTCAGCAGAAGCCCTCAGCCCCAGACTCGTCTGAGCAGCATCTCCCAGGGTCCACTCCAGCTCTGGCCTCCAGCGTTTCCTCCCACAGTCAGACCCAGGTGAGGGAAGCAGCGTGGCCACTCCAGAGAGCCCCAGGTGGAGGTAGAAAACCAAGGCATGATGTGAATCAGCTTTGGCGCAGACCTGTTGGCATCACTGCTCTGCCCCATCCCGTCCTCCCTGCCCTGAGCGAAGAGGCGGCACGTGGAGCCCAGCAGGGACCTTCCTCATCCCGTGGTACCCACCCCATGGCCACGATCCCACCGTGGCCGGGACCATCTGACATCAACTCCAGCAGCGGTGCCTCCATTGCTCTGGTCCTTGCACGCTGGATTTTCCCAACTGCAAACTGTGGTGGCAGCGAGGGGCCAGGGCAGACTGTCCCTGCCCACACCTCCTGGCGAGGAGAGACCCCAGCCCTCAGCAGGGCTGCAACTGCAACTGCCAAGTCCTCTCATCCTGGTGTTTCTTCCCCCGCTCCGGCGTGACAGGTTTCTCCTCTGGGAAGACGATGGTGGCGTATTCAGTCTGCTCAACTGGACGGGTCTCAGGGGGCACCTGGGTGCACTGGTCCCCCTGAAATTCCAGCACACCATAGTCCACAGTGGACACAGACACCATGGGGGGCTTCTCTTCCTTCTGCAAGGAAACCCCATCAGGGCAGTTCATCATCTGGAGGTACCTGCCATCCTCAGCACAAGCCCCTTTTTTACAGCAAGTGCCAAAACCAGCTCTGAAGCATCCCAGGAGGGAGAGAGCAATGCACAGCAGAAAGACACACAGACCTGGGAGAGCATTCGCCCAGAGAAACCAGACCAGGAGCCTCGGGGTCGCCGCTGAGGCCATGTGGGTCTCAGCTCTCTGCCTCTGCAGGCAGGTGGGGCTCCCTGCCTGCCCAGCCATTGAAGCCAGGGTCATGCTCGGAGCCTTTTCCCACCTCTCCATCGGCTTCCGAGCTGGCACAGGGTGCACGAGGGGAACGCAGGGTTGAGTTTGCTCATCCCAGAGAAGGGAGAGTAAGGGGGAATATACCTGCTGCCTTCAGCTACCTAATGGGGTTGGAGAGAAGATGGAGCCAGACTCCTCCCAGCAGTGTCTGGCAAAAGGAAGAGAGGAAACAAGTACTATCTGCAGCAAGAGAAATTTTAGCTTTATATATTGTGGGTGGAATATCTTTTCCCATTTTCTACAGCAACACAATCCACTGCCAAAGATAACCCCGCTGTCAGCAACAGCTGGACTACAGAGGTCCCATCCTATCTCAGGCAGTATTTTGACTGTGATGGGGCTGTGCTGCAGGTGCAAAAAGGCGGTTGTAACTGTGCAGAAAAGATTGAGCAGCATCAGAGAATACAGAAGCAAGAAGCCTGTGAAGGGTTGATAAAGGGCAGCCCTGCACCCTCTGCACCCCAGCGATGCTGCGATTGCTCCCTTGCAGCACGGCAGGGCATGAGAGACGGAAAACTCACCACTGACACGTTTTCACTTGGTGGTTTCTGCACAACTGCAAAGAAACACATTTGGTTAGAAGATGTTTGTGTGCTAAGACAGCATGAGCATCTGGGGCTGGGGCTGACCCAGCCCCCACATCCTAGGAGAGCTCTGGACACCACAAACATTGCACCACACTTCCTTCTTCTCCACTCAGGGTCTAACTGAGCATTCCAAGGACAAGTGAGATACCAGCTCAGGCTCTTGGGTTTAATTGGGATCAATGGGGTGCAATGCCTCAGGGACCCCCTCTCAAGAGCCCCCCTGGCTGCCCACAGCATGGCCAAGGTGATGCCTGGTGCTGCAGTGAGACAACAAGATGTCTCGAAGGTTCCTGGGCAAGGTGCATGGGAGGGACTCCCATACAGCATCAAGACATCGTGCTAATGAGTGGTTCAGAGCCACAGCACGTGGCCTGAGGCCTCTATGAAGGGCGAGCATGACCCAAAGCACCTTTCTCCCCTAAGCACGGAGATACCTGTCCCATGGGGACATGCCACAGCTGAGTTTAGCATGTTGAACCTGCCCATGTACCCCAGGGAGTTCAAGCTGGGTTTGTTGTATGAGCATCACTCGCTCCGTCCCCTGGCAGACCCCAGCCCCTTGGTGCAGCACAGCCCCCACAGGGGATCATACCTCCTCTCCTGTACGTGATGGTGAGGTAGCCAAAGATCAGCAGCACAACGGCCCCAGCCAGCAGCAGGATGCCCAGGAGCACAGCCTTGACATGGTCCGGGGGATCGCCTTCCTCCACCTCAGGCTCATCAGTGGTGTTTGTCTTCTCAGGGGCTGCTGTAATAGCCATCCAAAAAAGGGGGAACAAAACAGCAGGTCAGGACTGTAAAATGGCCTCTATCATCCCTGGGAAAGTCAGCAGGGGAACACAAGGGCTGTCCCCAGAAAGGACTCAGTCCCAGGCAGGCTGCCACAGCCCCATCATCCCTCCAGGGGCCCTGAATTTGGGCTGACATGGGGGATGTTTTGGCCACGTCCCATTCCTCCCCATTGCAGGTGGTGAGGATGATCCCACACCACTGAGAGCCAGGATGCAGGGGGCCAGGGCATTGCAGTCCTGGGACATGAGCCCGTGCCCAGCAGAGCCCCGTGGAGGACGTGGCTTCCCCAAGCCTCCCAGCTGCTTCTGCGTCCTGGGGCCAGCACAGCTTCGGCTCATGTTGGGGGGAGATGTTGCGAATGACAGTAACTTTTGCAGTGTTTTGCCTTTTTATAAAAGGCCATCTTCAGCCCCTCAAAGCCTCCATGCTGCCAAGCAAGTGCATGGCATATCTTCCTGTGAGATCTCAGTCTCCCGCACCATGGGGCTATGAGACCCTCCCAGGCCATGGCTTTGCAGGAACAGTATCTACACCAACACCATCTGCTCAAGGGGTCTGAGCCCTGGTCATCACCCCAAACACAAGCCCTGTCCCCAAATAAAGGTGCTGTTCAGGGATGCAGGCAGCTCCCTACGCTAGTCTCCTGCCTTCATCTGTGGGTGAAAGCAACTCCCTATGCTGGTCTCCTGCCTCCATCCATGGGTAAGGACTCACTCCTCCCCACAGCATCACTGGGTATGCAGCTCCAGCAGGATGGAGACCTCCTGCCCCAGGGCCAGATCCAGAGTGCAGATGGGGGAGAACGGTCTGTATCCCTGGGCATCAACCAGGCATGCAAAGGCAAGGGGAAAAGACAGAGCTCTGCTCTCCTGACCCACACCAGATCCTCCCCCAGCGGGGTACCGCCTGCCTTGTGCCCTGGAGCTGCAGTGTGCCCGAGGGCCATAGCACCACCAGACAACACTGATGACCTGTCCCCATCAGCTCAGCCCTCAGGCTGACCTGTGACCACCAGGTGGGACCGGTTGCTCTCCATTACTTTATCAGGTTCAAAGAAGGTGATCAGCCCACAGTAGTAAGAGCCCGAGTCGTTCTGGTGAAGGTTCAGGATCTCGATCTTGAAAGCAGGAGTGTGGTTGGTGAGCAGGTACTTCTCTGTCTTTGTTTGGGGGTTGTTCCGGCTGATCTCAGCAATTTTTTGGCCTTGGCTGTGGTTGGTCTCCTTGTACCAGTTGAGGCTGTACTCCAAGACAGAGTCACTCTCCACAGAGATGTTGCAGAAGAAGGTGGCTGAGGTGCCTGCAGGGAGGGTTAACACAGCTGGGAAGAAGGTCACTGTTTGGGAGAGAGGAAACAAGGAACAGATATGGTTACAGCAGACACAGGTCTCAGAAACAGCCGTACCCCCCATGCCGGAACCAGGGATGCAAAGAGGATGAGAGCCCACCATTGGCCCTGCTAGCACTCCATCCCATGGAGAAGTGACGGGCTCCTACATCCCAAACCCAGAGTCTCCACACATTCCTTAGCTATTTCACCCTCACCTCCTGAAGGCCTCCGTGAGGATTTACAAAAGCCTGCTGCAGAGCGCTTGCGAGCTGAGCCCCATGCCATCGCCAGCACCTGGCTCACCTGCGGCCAGGTCCCCTCCGGAGTGTGTCCCTGCCAGCCGCAGCAGGACCCTCAGGGGTTGTAACTGTACCATGAAGTGGTTTCAGCAGAGGAAATTGTGCTCTGGGCTACCTAAAATTAACCGAGAACATCTGTACCGGGGAAAACAGACTTTGGGAGCTGTATTATTTTTAAATCTATACTGTATTTTAACATCTGAGTCACCCTTCCTCCAGCTGATGTGTGTGTCCCTGCCAGCCGCAGCAGGACCCTCAGGGGTTGTAACTGTACCATGAAGTGGTTTCAGCAGAGGAAATTGTGCTCTGGGCTACCTAAAATTAACCGAGAACATCTGTACCGGGGAAAACAGACTTTGGGAGCTGTATTATTTTTAAATCTATACTGTATTTTAACATCTGAGTCACCCTTCCTCCAGCTGATGTTGCCTCTGAAAGCGAG